TCCACGGAGGGCTCCTGTCCCAGAGTTTAGCCCAGTGAGGGCTCCTGTCCCCGAGTTTAGCCCAGTGAGGGCTCCTTTCCCCACGTTTTACCCTGTGAGGGCTCCTGTCTCCGAGTTTAGCCCAGTGAGGGCTCCAGTCCCCGAGTTTAGCCCAGAGAAGGCTCCAGTTTCTGAGTGTAGCACAGAAAGGGCTCCAGTTCAAGGAGGGCTCCAGTCGCCAAGTCAAACCCAGGGAGGGCTATTGTTCCCGAGTTAGGCCTACGGAGGGCCATCTAAAGACGATATGCTCCCCAAGGATTTTTTTTGGTGGGGGCGGGGTAGTATGGGTCCGTCCGTAGTGGTCGGGCCGAGAGACAAGGCCAAATCCACGGAGGCCATCCGGCCATGGCGTCCTGAGTTCCCTGTTCCGCCATGGCTCCCCGAATTCTCTGCTTCGCCATGGCTTCCTAGTCTGCCCGTTCCGCCATGGCCTCCTGAACTGTATGCCCCGCCATGGCCTCCTGAGTTCCTTGCTGCGCCATGGCCTCCTGAACTGCCTGCACCACCATGGCCTCCTGTGTTCCCCACCCCGCCATGGCCTCCTGTGTTCCCTACCCCGCCATGGCCTCCTGTGTTCCCTACCCCGCCATGGCCTCCTGTGGTCCCTCTTCCGCCTTGGCGCCCAGAGCTGACAGATCCATGGTGCCCCGCTCTGGAGGCCTCCCGTCTGGTAACCCTACTCTTAGAGGTCTCCAGAGCGCCCACCCCCCCTCCCCATTGGATGTTTTGGTGGCGTGAGGACACGCCTTCTGGGAGGGGGGAGTAATGTCAGACTCTGGGCCAGGTTTTGTGTGTGTCTTTGCTCCCTATGTGCTCCGTCTTCCAGTTTCTCTGTCTCGTGTTTTGAATTAATTGTTCCCAGGTGTTTCCTATGTTGATTGTCATTAGTTCCAGGTGTCCCTTGTCTTCCCCTCATCAGTTCCTGTGTATTTAAAGTGTGTTCTAGTTCTTGTCCTTGGTCAGTCGTTGAACGTCATCCTGATGTGTCGAGTCCTGTGATCCCCAGCCTTTGTTAATAAAACCCTTTCCCACCCCCCCACCCCCCCCGGTGGAATTGTTACAGTTCTGGACTCACGATCAGGGAGGGGGGAGTAATGTCAGTGTTGTGGACTTGTGTTTCCTTGTTTTACCCCATCTTAGTTCCTGTTTCCTTCTGGTCATGTTTCCTGTTTCTGTCCACATTGTGTTAATTTGTATCCATTAATGTCTGATTAATTATCTAATTTGCCCCTAGCATTTAAACCCTGTGTTTCCCTGAGTCTGTGTCGGCTGTTATATGTCATCTCCCCATGCACTCCGTGTGATTCCTCGTTTGATTCCTGTGAATGATTAAAGACTGTGATATTGTAATACTCCTGCGTCTCCTCTCCTGTGTGAGATCGTGACAGGCGAAGCCTCCATTTTCCACCTCTGACCACAATATGATTAATTTAATTACAACACATAGAACTGTTTTAAAAGCAGGAAACCTGAGGTCAAGACTATATCTGTGTGGTCAGAGAACAGTGTAGAGACACTTAGGATGTTTTTTGAGCACAGACTGGGAAATCCTACAGAACGGAGACATTCATTAGGCTACTGACACAACGACTGAATATTAAGTTTTGTGTGGACAATGTCCTGGAAAAAAATTTCTAACTGTCTTTCCCAATAACAAGCCATGAATTACCAAAGAAATTAAAGAATGTATTAATCGAAAGAAGCACTTTCCGGAGACTGTTGTAAGCGAAGACACTTCTCTCGGAGTGAAAATTGACCCTCGGAAGGTTTGTTCAATTTTTAATCAAATTAACACTAGAAAGTCCACAGGACTTGATGGTATTTCAGCTGTTCTTTAAAAAACTTGTGCAGAGCAGCTCACCATTGCATGGTGTCCTGTTTTTCAACAATCTGTGGATTGTCATACTGTCCCTGATATTTGGAGATATTTGATTATAGGTCAATAGCCTTGACATCATGCGTTATGAAGTGCTTTGAGAGGTATATGGTGTCTTTGCTAAAGATAGAGGTAAAACCTGTGTTAGATCCACTCCAGTTCGCCTACAGACAAGGTTGTGGTACGAAGGACGCTATTAACACCAAAACTAATGATATGGCGAAACATCTAGAGAGTCTAAAAGCCTATGCACGGTTGTTATTCGTTGATTTTAGTTCGCCATTTGATACAATTAAACCCAACTGTTTGATTCAAAAACTGGGGCAGTTGGGTGTAAATCCCTTTTTAATCAAATGGTATTATTCGTTTTTAATTGAATGCAGCGGGTCAAGGTTAACCACAGTATACCAGAGGTTAGAAGGACAAGTACAGGTGTTCCACAAGGCTGTGTTAGTTCCCCGATTCTTTTTACATTGTATACAAATTAATGCAGAAGTCATGATTCCAGTAACCTCATAATAACATACGCAGATGGTACAGCTCTGCTAAGCCTTTTGTATAATGATACTTACCCCTCAGTATATTATTCAGAGGTAGAAAGGTTTGTGAAGTGGTGTGACCTAAATCATCTTATTATAAATACCAAAAAAAAAATGAGGAAATGGTTTTTCACCCAAAGTTAATTGGGAACCACTCACCTGTATTTATTCATGAGGAACCCATTAAACAAGCGTGCTCGTATAAATACCTGGGTGTTTATATGGATAATCTACTTACCTGGGGACCCCATGTAGATAGTATAAGTTCTTGTGTGCAGAAGAGGTTACACTTTCTATGAAGACTGAGAGTTTATGGGGTTCAGCTGAAAGTAATGTATTTATTTTACCAGGCTGTAATTGGAAGTATAATACACTATGGTTATACTGTGTGGTTTGGCAACATCACAGTACAATCTAAAGCCAAACTTGCACGTCTGGTAAAGATGGCTATGGCAATTATAGGGAAAAGGGAATATCAAACCATGGAATCATCTTATGAGCAGTCGGTTCTTAAGGAAGTTACTAAGATAGTATCTGATCCCTCACATAGCTTATATTCAGAACACAAGTTGTTGCCTTCTGGCAGACAATACAGGCTGCCTGTGTGCAGATACAATCGTTTTATGAAATGTTTTGTACCTACGTCGATTAGACTTTTATTTTACATGTAATTTTACGTTAACTTTGTTTTTTGCTATTGTGGTTTGGAATGTTGGTTCATCTACAGTATGTCTATGTGGGTTTTTATTATATAATCTAATGCTTTATCAGTGTATATGTATGCGGGCTCCAGGGTCCAAGACAAATTTCCCCATTGGGGAAAATAAAGTATATTGAATTTAATTGAATTTGCCACTTACACGCTATGTGAACTTTCTAGGAAATAGTTTGGATGATGAAACATCTGCTAAGAACATAAATGCCCATCTAACAGCTCCAGACCGTTATTTATAACTTTAGAGCACTTAGAGACCCAGAGCTGAAAGCCATTTGTAAGTGGCGTCTCTTTCAGAAGAAGATGATCAGATGAGAGTCTCACTAATGATTATATAATAAGACACTCATGAACTGTTTCTCTGTGAGTCTCTGTCACAGCAGGGTCTGCTCAAGTCCACTATGATCCTGTTCTTCTAGATCTCTGTTACCTGCAGGAACTGGATGTGATCCTGTGTGTGTGAAAGCTGCTCCAGCTCAGCGTCTCTCCTCCTCAGATCATTGATCTCCTGCTCCAGTCGCTCCAGTCGTCCTTCAGCTCGACTCACTGCAGTCTTTTCCTGATCTCTGATCAGCCGTATCAGCTCAGAGCGGCTTCTCTCAATGGAGCGGATGAGCTCAGTAAAGATCCTCTCACTGTCCTCCACTGCTGTCTGTGCAGAGCGCTGTTAGGACACACAGTGATTCAGGCTTCAGTGAGTCTGAACTGAGACGGAGACAAACTTCTCTTCTTCTCCAGACTCACCTTATGAGACTCCACAGCCTCTCTCAGCTGCTGAAGATCTTTCTCTCTCTGCTGGATTCTCTGCTGGAGCATCTTCTGCGTCTCCTTCAGCTGCTTCTGCAGGACAAACGGATGATAGTGAATCTCACAGAAAACTACTGGCTCTAAATCATCATGTGAACAGATGAATCCAGTAAAAGTGGAGCTGATAACTAATGGCTGTAGGTTCAAACTCCAGAAGTGACGATCGGCTACAATCATACAAGTGTAAGTATTAAATAAGTGAAACTGACACAGACGTAGAGCTTCACACTGACATTAGCCACATTTGCATGGACACTTTTTGTTTCAATCTGAATGAAATCATTCCGACTGATGAATCTGAACATAGTTATTACATGAACGCTAAATAAAGTGATCGGGTTAAGCTTCAAATCAGATTTAATCTTCTGACATGCACACTCTGCACAAATATATACAGTTTCCTACTGTTTTTTATACTAACCATCCTTCTTTTCTTTGTTTTAAAAAGCAGGCTTAATATTTATCTATTTCGGGTCCTAATTAGGAGACAAGCACACGAGGCTTTGTGCAATGATGCTTTTATTAATCAAGCAGTAAAAAAGCCCATTCCCGTGCCCAAAACAAGATGTCTGCAGATGAGAGTTAGAAGCAAGCAATTGTGGCACAACGTTATCCTGCAGCACTTCACAGACGATGAGCGGAAAGAGAATTTTAGATTGACACGATAGTCATTTATTATATTTAACAACAACAACATTGGCTCGTTCCATGCGTCATGCACCATTTCTATGTCACTGCACATGCGTAAAACTTTCCACTTTTGGTTTTTAATCCGATCAAGTGTTTACATGTCTTATCGAACAGATTAGAAAAGTTTATCCCACCCTTCTCAACCCGACTGAAATTTCAATCGTTTTGGGCATTTTCCTTCCAATTGAGTTGTTTACATGATTTCATTCAGATTGGACTTATAAACTGATTGTATTCAAAATACAATTCTCCATGTAAACTCACCTAGTGTTTCTCCAGAGCTTGCATTTTGACCGATGGAAGTATGTTTTGTCAAAGAACGGGTGAATAGTTCACTCCATTATTTGATGTTGCTTATTCAAGGTCTATTTTTATGAAAGATTGTGTTGATAAAGGTTTAAGGTAAATTTCAGCAAACAGTGAAACTCTTCTTGCAGCTGCTGTTCATTTCTGCTGCCGTGTGAATGCTGTGGGCTGTTAATATGGTGCTGATATAAACACATATGAAACGAGTGCCAGCAATATATCATCAGTGTCTAGTCTTAAATACCTGATTCTCTGTCCTCTGTGCTGCAGCTGATACAGTGTCGTGGTTTTTATGTTCATCCATACAGAGCACACATATACATTTCTGATCTTTTACTGCATGAATACAGAGACACAAACACACAACAGCTCAGCTGCACTTCAGTTTCTCTTTCCCTGAAATCACATGATTCCTGTTTCCTGGTTCTGTGTTTCAGTCACGTGTGTATCATTCTCTCATACTCATGGCCGGACTTACCACTGGGCTTGAATGGGCTGCAGCCCAGGAAACTATTTCAACTGCGCACACGGCTAACAGCTTCCAGCTTCCAACTACGACATTCAAAGCCATAATCAAACAGCATAAACTGGAATTTATGATTTTTTTCACATAGTAAAAGGACACACGTATTAAATCATGTCTGCGCTGCACCGAATCGCCGATTAATTTGTGATCACATGGCTACTTTAAACGGTTCAATTAAACCTTTAGCCCAAAAGAGCGCACATGTACACGCCTCACATCTGTTCAGAGGATGGTTCTATGTTATATTAATGTTCCACTAAATTAATCTGAAGCATTTATTTAATATACAATGTAGGTTAGATGAGTTAAAAAAAATCACAGAATATCAGATTAAGTCAATCATTTGAAAACAGCGTGTGTGGTTCAGCTGTACCGCGTCTTCTCGCTCTCACTCTCAAAATTGCCTCACATCGGCGCATCTGGTCTGCAATAAGAGAGCTTCTGCACGCTGCAATACAAGACTTTCGCTCAGCTGACAGGACTGTCACTTGCCTAATCAGGTCAGTGTTGCATCATCACAAAAGTTTATCATTTGTACGTCTTTTTAAGTCTTTTTAAACCATTCGGTACTTACGCGCTCCAAACTAGTTTTCTGGGTGCTCACGGTCACATCCAAAGCGCGCGCACATGAAGCCGCCTCACAAACACCTCAAGAAAAATTATTGTTTTCATTGTTTCTGACTCAAGTAACCTTGCATTTTAATAAATAATGTTACATAAAGACAATTAAACGGTCAGTAATACATGAACAAGTTACTAGCAATGCAATAGCACAAGGATACAAATGAAACAAACTGTGTTTTAACTTTTTCAGGTAGGCTAGCCTAAAACTAACAGTAGCTGCTACTGTTCCGGAACAAAATACTATGATGTATAAAGTCATAGATTATATTTATATATTAATCCATATTAAATATGAAAAAGTTATTTAGTCAAGAGCAGATTTGAGTGATTTTTTTCTTTTGTTCTTTAACACAGACTGACAGCCAGCAAGTATAAAAGCTGCTGTCACTTTCATACCAAATGTTAATGTTAACAATGTTAATTAATTTAACAACAAAAGACATGTTAATTATTGTTAACAACAAAAGGCAAAATCACTCACTGCTCTTGACTGAATAACTTTTGTAACTTTAATTTTAAGAATTCATCTGTTGTTTAATTTACAGTGAATTTACTGTTTTTAATTTACAGTTTATTCCATTTCTGCAGCATTTCTGTATCTGAATGTTTTCCACCAAAACTGTTTATAAAACGAAATTCAGGTCCTGAGTTTAATTTATAATACTGGCTAAGCAAATTACAATATACTTAACATTCTGGCATTCAGTTATGTGATTATGTAGCCTAACTTATGTTCTCTGCATGAAGTAACG